AAACTCCACGTTAGAATCCATAGTGTTCCATGGAGAAACCACTACAGTGATGTCATTCATTCTAAGATGGAACTATTAGTGTGTTTCAAATACGTGATAATATAATGCATTCTACATTTATAATAGTTGTCCTCATTATGTGAGGTTCAGCCACAAGTCCGATATACGAAATACATTGATAAATGACAACTAGAATTGAATAGACCAGTGGTTTAAAAAACGGATCGGTGGACAGAATTGGTCACCCCAAAAACCCATCCGGATCGGTGGATCGGCGATCCGGATCAGCTGAATCGGTCGGATTAAGCTGTAAAAACATTTAAAAAATTATTAAAATTTATTATAAATGTTGTTTTTTAGAATCCAATAAGAAATCAGGGTACTACATTAATAATCTTCATTTTTTTCATCAATATGTGAATATTGAGATATTTTTTCACAATATGAACTTATTTTAACCATTAAATTACATCACACAAAATAAAAATAATAGAACTATCATGGATGCAGTATATAATCATACATAGACTACAATAAAGAATGATTTTTTTTATAAGAACATTTTAGTTTTTTTGACAAAAACCTTTTATTTTTTTACAAGAAATGTTTGTCGTATTACATTTTTTTTTGTTTTTAGCAAGAACCTTTTTTTTTGACAAAAAATACTTGTATTATTTTTTTTTTATAAGAACTTTTTTTTTTTTTACAATAACTTTTTATTACTTTTTTTTTTTTGACAATAACTTTTTATTTTTTTGACAAAAAAAAGAAATTTGACAAGAAAAATAATTGATAAGAACCTTTCATTTTTTTTTATAAGAAAATTTTTATTTTATTGATAAGAACTAAATTTGACAAAATGAGAAATTGATAAAAAAACCTTTTACTTTTTTGATAATAAAAAAATTTGACAAAAAGCGAAATTGATAAAAAAACTTTTTATTTTTTTTGCAAGAAAAAAATTTGACCTCAGAAAAAGAAAATTGACAAGAAAAATATTTATAAGAAAAAAATTTGACCTCAAAAAAATAAAATTGACAAGAAAAATACTTGATAAAAGAACCCCCTTTTGTCCCAAGGAGAATGGAACCCACGCCCTCCACATGCAGAAAGAAAGTTATAACCAATAAGCCACATTCTACTTAGTAGTATTAAAAGCGCAAATAAAATATATAATATATTAATGTTTCAAGTTAATACCTTCACATTATCTCACATAGAAGAGGTAGAAGGAAGTTGTAGTGAATAAATACCTCTTTGTAGTTAATGAGGATAACACGTGCGAAGTGAGGAGAGTCACGTGACGAGGTGTGCGGACCTTAAGGTACATGTACTTTTTAAAAATTACAAAAAAGCCCATTGAAAAAAATTTACAAAAATGCCCATTGAAAAATAGGCAGGCCATGACGTCATGAATCAAAGAATCGGGAAAATCATGACGTCACATGGTGCATGGAATCGTCGGTTCTTCTCTAGAACCGGGCGATTTCCTGTATTTCACTGGAACCGGATCGCGTCTACCGGTTCCCGAGTCGAATCGGACGAGTCCGGTTTGACTCGCCGACTTTTGAATCACTGGAATAGACGATTAGACAAGTTGTTCCACGTGAAGTTTTCTTAGAATTCTCTCACTTCAACAACAAAATCATTGAAGTTATCAAGCTTACCAGCAGTTTCCCTTTACCTTGTGTGCAGAGTACCCGAGATGGAACAACAAAGTTCTATGTTATGACAGCTCAACATTCCAACAGCAGTATGTGGCCTATGGAAAAGAACAAAATCTTAGTTGCTGGAAGAGCCCCAGAAGGGCATGGTTCTGGCTCCGGATTCTAGATCCTGCGCTCCAAAGCAAGGATCTCAGCTGGAGCATCTATTTTTTTTTTTCTTATGAGTGAGGTCAATCCTTTTTCTAGGACTCTCGATCCCTTTTTCATACGGATCAAGATCCCCCAAATGAGGGAGTCTGATCCCTGTGGATCTTGATCCCCCCCGATTTAGGAATCTTGATCGTTGTATTTGTGGATCTCCATCCATTTCATTTAGTATCCTCAAACATCAAGAACTAAAATATTTAAACTGTTATATATGGATTGTGGATTATGGAGTATCAGGCTAGATTGTAAAACGTATAAACCACCATATCAACAATTAAAATAATTAAAGCATTTAACACAATGGGACAAGGGAACCCCATCCATTGCACAATGGGATCTAGTTTTCGTGAGCATTAGGACTGCAATCCTTCATATTTATTGGATCATAACCCCAATTTATATGGATTGGGGTCCCTAGATATTTGGAATTGAGATCCTATGAGAAGTGGGAAAGGCGGCCCTTGCGAAACGGGATCCAAATCAAGATCGTTTATATATGGGATGCAGCTCCGGGCTAGATATGTTGTACAGATCCCGAACCTTGATTACCGAAACTTTGAGCCAATGTTGATACTACGATCCCGTTCCCGATCCCAGAGCCGTGCCTGCTCCGCTTCTCGGCAACTATGAACAAAATAGTCGGAACATAGGTGATTTGTTTTTTTGGGTAGATCAGCAAGGAAAAGGTTTACCATCAATGGTAGAAATGGAACTCAAAACGTCATGTTGTGGCATCAGCCACCCTGACCACCTATGGCGTGAGCCCATTCCCAAACCTTGGCGAATTAATTTGAAGAGATGGCTTTTGCAACAGATCTTCAAGAAGGAAACCAATGTCTTGCTAGGGTTAAGTTTCAAGGAAAGAGATGTCAGAGATGCATGGTCTGCGGCCAAATGTGATTAAAGAATTCTTGCCAAACAGCTATCAACCAGAGGCTAAATTCCTCCCCCAAAAACCCTTCGAAAACTTAGTTTTGAACTTTTGATGGAAGGAAATAATGAACTAGATGGATATGAAGGAAAATTCCAAATCTGAAATGGCAAAATGAAACTTCCTCTTCGGTTATCAATCTCAGATTTGGTAAGAGCTAAAGCATTTTCTTGATCGCCATTCATATTCAGGTGGGAGTCAAGAGGGTGCCTGCAACCTTATTGGTGGCTCCAGCTAATCTGTTAACTCCAAGCAAATGGCCAGTCTTTGGGGAGAATGGAATATACATTTACAAAAATAACAGACTTTAATCATAAATAATGGCATTTAAGATATTATTTCCAATGTAACTAAAGATGTTAATTTGGTGGGCAATTCAATGGAGAACTTAAGGAGCCAGGGGATTAGATTCGACTAATGCAGATCTATGCATCCACAATACACTTATCTTTAATTTCGTATTTCATGTTTTTCAAATCTCTAGTGGAATTATCAGAACATGAAACTTTGGATGTTCTTGGCAACTCAGCAAGTTAAATTATAGACGATCAAAGAAGAATTCCAAATTTGTTTTCTTTTTTTTTTTTTGTTCCACACAGGTTAAATCTAGATCACGTTAGGTATCTTTCTTATCGTCTTGAAATACCAATGCATCTTTTTCAATTTTATTTTACTTTATTTGTTGCAAAGAGCATGGTATTGGTTTCTCTTTTTTAATTAGAAGCAACAATAATTACATTACAACATGAAATACCTAATCATGATCCATGTAAAGATTAAGGCATTTCTCTTTTCCTATTATTGTTAAATCTTATTTTACAATGTTTCTTTTCCTAGTTGTTCTTGAGACCATTTGCGCCATGGAAAGCACCACGCTAAGCTAATTGAACAGATTCTAAGGTATCGGCGTTGGCTCAAGTTGAATCATTGTAAGTCCAAGGTAGAAGTGTTCAATGAAGAACTCAGTCTTAAGCCCTCCCAGCCTATTAAATAAACATACTTCAAAAGTTAATCAATCAGAGAGTTACTCCAATCCAATTTACACACTTATTTGGTTCTTGGAAATAGCACAGCTATGCAGGGGATGAAGAGAAGCCCGTGCTTGTTTCATATTGATAAACAGGGGTATGCACAATTTCAAAAAGAACATAGTTATTCCAGAACAACAGAACAGATAAGGAAACTTACAAAAAAAAACACACACACAAGACTGTGAGCACATGCAAATTCGAGAGGGGGGAATGGAGAAAGAGAGTTTTTTTTTTATATTTTTTTTTGGAGGGGGGTGGGGGGTTGGTGGTAAACACGAGAACTTTTGTATAGTAAAAAGGTTTCTTAGTTGAACATTGACTTTAAAAAAAGCATAATGTGTCAGCTCATATTTTTAAGGGACTGTCTACAAAGAGACCATTTATCTTTTGTATATAAAGGTCACAATCATTCTTGTCCCTTAAATTTCAAAATGGGTGGTTGTAAGAGAACAAAGTTCAAAAAAAATATCTCAGACTTCGTGACTCAACCCAAGTCATCCAATGTGACATCTAATGATTTTTACGTTAATCATTTGAGAATGCTTTCGACCTTCTGATTCAGTTTTTAAACACCAGACCATCAAAATTACCAAAAAATAATGCCCAAGGCAATTTCCACAATTCAGAAATTCAGATGAACCTTCTATAGCTTCTGGGAGCAGAAGTCTTAGCACAAAAAGGAGTGGGATCCAGAGCCAGGATCATTGCTTGCTAGAAGCCAACAAATTAGGGTGCGCCTATACAACAAATATTAAAAAACTAAATAAACTTCAAAAGGTAATAAAGGATCTGGATGTTTGAGTTCTCTTTTAAATTTCGTCAAGAATAAAGATGCACACCCTTCCTTAAAACTCAAACTTTGCCCTGTAATGCATTTTATAGGTTTCGCATTGGAGGCCGTCGAAGGAGAGATCAGGCTCTTTCTTAACAACTACAGTCAAAAGAGTTCCCAAGAACATACGGAATGCGTTCCCAAAAGAATAAGAACATGTTCGAACGAGTTCCAGCTCCCTAACCACAGAACCGCATTTGAGGAGGATCACCAACTTGGATAGGAGATCCCAAAAACTATGGGACATTCCCATATAGCCATGTGCTTCAGGAAGTTTATGAGAACGCTATTTAAATGATTTAGTGAAAGGGATAATATGATATCATCCATACCTCGCCATCGTGTCCTGAAAGCAGTGCAACCTTCTTAAGAGAAAGCCTTCCATCTACATCGGCATTCAGGCCCACATGCCATATAGCGATGCCTTTGCAAGTTGCAACAGCAACAACTTCATATGGTCTACAAACATGCAAGCTTGTCAGGTATCAGCAGAAAACTCTTTTCTTCCAAATTCATTTCCTGATGTTCGTGATAGGAATGCATTCTTTCTTTGTGCCTAGCACTATAAAGAAAGTCCATGGACTCTTCCAGTATGAAAGTAGACTGGTAGGAACATAGGACTTAATCAGAAAAAGTATGGTAAACGAAAACAAAGGATGCAGAAATAAGTCAAGAGAAAAATAACATCTACCTGCCAATATTAGGTGCCCAAGCTAAGGCGTGCACCTGATCACCTTCATCTCCAGGCAGAGCCAGCTCAGCTACCGGTTGCCACCTCTGATGAGTCTCATCAAATTCCCAGATCTGCAAAATGTTCACTTCAATATGAATTCTGACCAAGGAATTTTGCAAAGAACAGTATTTTCTTTTTCCTAGGGGCTTCCTCAATCCTATGAATTTGAGGCAGTCATGTCCAAGAGAACCATCCACAATTGGCATTAACACACTCAAATGGCTTTCAATGTAAAACATTAATAAAAATATTGAGAACAGAATGGTGCACAATCCCTTCCAGGATCTAGATCTTAAGATCCCAGAAAGGGATCTTCCATGGATCAAATTTTTTTAGAATTTAAATTCTCAATCCAATTTTCAAGGGTATGAGTTCCACTAATCATGTGTTTCAGTTCCCGACTTCTTTGGGATCTAGTTCTTAAATAATAAGGTTCGCAATCCCAAGAGTCGTTGGATCCAGATTCTATTACATTGTAACACTAGGATCACCATGTACTGCATCCAGATTCCATTACGTCGTAACCTCAATAATCATTACAATAACTTTTATGTGTTAGTGCTTCCTTAAAGGAAATATATTTTATAAGTAAATATTTAAAACTCCCCCACAATCCTCCACAACAAATGCTCCGTCCTCCATTGCTGATGAGAAAACCATTATTTAATAAACTTTAATAAATAGCAAATTACTTCATGTATCTATCATTTTGGACTATACTTAATTATGTGTAACTTTGCTGCTCCTATTCAACAAAAAAGATGGCAACAAAGTGTTGGTACTCTACAAGAGTCAACTACAGAATCTATAAAAGTCTTAATTTACTAACTGAATTGATTTTTTTATATATTAATATAATAAATTATGGAATAATTTGAAGTTTCTTATTTATTTAATAATAGTTTAAGATTGCATATTATTAATTCAATGTCGGGATATACACTGTAAAACCAGGATGAGCTATTTAAACTTACAAGAACTCGTCCCTATAAATTTTATCCCTCACTTCATACTATGTTGGATAATTTTTTCCTATTGCACTCCCACGCTTGGGGAATTCACAAATTTGTGCATGGAAACTTCAGATCTTAAGTAGAGGATCTGGCTCCCAAAATATTATAATACTCGATCTTAAATAATTGAGGAACTCGATCCCTAACACACATGGATCATGTTCCTTATGTTCGAGGTTGTACGGATGTCAATCCCCCATCATAGCTATCTTTATGGTAGCATCGATCTGTCTATCCCACCCCCGATCCCGGAACCATTTCCAACAACTATGTTGTGTACATGCATGTAACACAATTCAGCCATTGAGAAATCTATAGGAACATATATTCAAAAAGGTTGATCATTGAGAAATGTTAGAACAATAGTTGTTGGGTTTGGGACTGGGAGTGGAAAGGGATTGGGAGCAGGGGATCATGAAAAGCCAGAAGATCCCAAGCTAGGAGTATCATCCATACAATGCATATGTTAGGGGTGAAGATCTCCAAATGATAGGGATTAAGATCCCAACTTTTTGGGATCTTGATCCCAACCTTTTGGTCCGCAATGCAACTATATCAAAACTATAGTTGTGTTGCTAACTAGCTATAAATAAAAAAGATCATCAGTTTGGTTTTTGTCTTAATCTTTAAGGTTGGGATTGAGATCCCTGACAGTGGTAAGGAGCTCCCTAACAATCGGGATCGGGATCCCAAATTTAGAAATCGAGATCCCTTTTCGAGATGCCGGAGGGAGTTCTCAAAGTGGGATCACCACCTATTTGGAAGATCCCGGTAACTATAGTTCGCACCAAACAAGAGATCCAAGATGATCAGTTCATCTGTCATACTCCCATCCCCTGAGTAAACAACTAGGCCAGTTCTTTCATTCTAAAAAAGTCCAAAATTATTAAAATGATGTCTTTTTAATACTTCACACTCTCTCTACCTCAAAAGTCATGTTTTCACATTTCTCTTTCCCCCAGAAACTTAAAGGCCCATTTGGCCATTTTGTAGCCAAATCTACTCAAATAACATTTTGAGTTTTAAATGGAATTTGATTCCAATGGAACCTAACCAAAATTCTATGTCCGTGACATGTCTATAGTGAAATCATCATTGTTTCCATTTTAAAGGTCCACAAAGCATGCAGCCTTGACTAGGACAGCCAAATTTGTACTGCCACGAAAAAAATACAAATGGTCACTTGGGTTGACTTGCGATATGCTAGCGAATGAATTAATAAATTTTAGAAGTACTTCTGTTGAGGTGCTCTCACTGGTTCTTAACAATTAAAAGCCCCCCCTCCCTCAAACAAAAAAAAAAGAACTGGGGGAGGGGGGGTGGTGGGCAGAGATTTCACCATGGATCATTTAATTAAAGAACATAATCAGAATGAGAATAGTGGAATTCCCAACAAAACATATTTAATTGAAGGACATATCTCTGGACAACTTTTCTGCAATACTGGGCATGTGATTTATTTCTTTAGTTTTTTATTATTAAAATTTTACATATTAACTACATCTATAAAGATGTATGGATACATAGGTATATTCTATAGACTTGCACAGGCATGCATCTCAGACACAACACATTTCGGTCTATCGCTGACATCTGGGCCGCTACCAAGTAATATACACAACAGTGTATCATGCATTCTCAGAAAAATCTGTGGGGGCTCTACAGGTACCTAGAGATTCATGGATTTCATGGTTTAGAAAGATATTAAATGAACCTTAGTTTGAGAGCTTGTCCTTCGGGTGGTACCAATTGGAAGAAAAAATAAAAAAAAGGCTCCTCCTATGGGTCGTGTCACTGCTTTTAGAAAATGTTCCATCATTTTTGTGATAGCCAGTGTTTGGAATCCCGGATCGACAAGGCAAATTGATCATCTCGGAAAGCGACTCGAATCAGCAATCCAAATTGAGGGATCGGCCAGTTCGGGACAATCCAGCCTTAATCAAACTTCAAAACATTGCTAAAATTTCTTAAAAAAACTAGGTTTTTCTTAGTTTTCAAGAAAAAAAAATGGGGCATTGCATTACTTTATCAAACATACTTAGAACTTGAAAAGAGGAGACAAAGAAAGAGAAATTCAACAGAGCATGAAAGGCAGCACAAAAAAACCCAATTATTTGCAGCCTTGGAGGAAAAATAGATTTCCACCCAAAAGATTTCAGTAAATATCGGTGAAACTTTCATTTGTTTTCATTAAGGTTCGGGTAAAACTTCAGCACCTTTAGCATCTTACTTAATAAATTATGTCAAATTCCAGTAAAATTTTGGGGATTTTCTTTTAATTATAGAATGAACAAAATCATTAGGTTTAGACACTCATTCTATTTGTTGAAGTTTCAGGAAATTTTAGAAGAACATTAAGTTTCTAAATAGTGGGAAAACTTTTGAATAAGTTGTCTTAAATTTTCTTAATTCTAGAATGAAATAAAATTTCTACATATTACATCTTAGAAAGTATATTCAATGTAATTATATAAAACAATGTATAAAAGTCTTATACATTTGTTTAATAATATGACAATGTCATTTTTATAGGACATATAGACAGTGTCATCGTTTTTATATAAGACAAACAAATACGGGGGGTTGGAAGTTCATGGGGATGGTTGGAAGTCTATAAACATTGACAATGTCATTTTTACTCTCACACCGAGGATGATTGAAAGTGCATGGGGCAGCGACACTTATAAAAATGAGTCACAGTAAGAAGCAATGCATGTTGGGCTTTGGCTACGACATTATATTGAGAGGAGGTGGACCACTCTACCAAATATTTTAAATAAAAAGATTGAAAATAAATAAGATTAAGAAATGTGTAATCCAAGCAGTCTAGCTCATGACCCACATAGTGGGTCTGGAGGCCATCCATATAGAGATGTGATGCCAACTTTGGTAAATAAAAATTGAAATAATAATAATAAATAAAAAAGTTCACGGGAACCGGGCAGGATCGACGAGTTCCCTAATAAAACCAGATGGTTATGTTAGAGAACAGGCAAGTTCTGTCGGGAACCACACAGTTTCGGGACATCACCGACGACCTAGTGATTTTCGAAACACAGTTGATAGCACATACTCAAGAAAATATTCCATAGGACATGTTCCATCTTTTCTGCTCTCCTTCGTTGATAAATTTATGACCAAAAATACAGGGCAATTTTTCCCTCCTCTAAGCATCACATGCTCATCCAATTGAGGACTTATTGATCACCGCCATTTTCATTCAAAATAACAATCTTCTTACTCTAAAGAATATAATAAAATTTTTATCTTTTATTCACTAGGGATGGAAAACTCTTTACTTTTTTTTTGGGGAATGGATATCATCCTCCTTCCAATAACAATAGTATGAGATGCCTACCACTAACTATCTCCATATGCAAAATGAGGATGGGGGAAAGGAAGACTCAAATGACCATTGGGTTTACCTTTCTATGAAAACAGGAAACAGTCATTAAAAAGTCTCATCTTTCATAAAAAAAAGGACATGGGGTGTTCCCAAACCGTACAACTAGTGTTTTAAAAATCACTGGAGCCGTCTTGGTACCCCAACAATATTAGAAGCGGGCGGTTCCCGACAAAACGGGCCCTTTCTTTGTGGCCAGTCTTGCAGGGAACTGGGCAGTCCTACCGATTCCTATAAATTTCTTCATTTATTATACTATTTAGTTATTTTTAAAAAAAATTATTTACCATAAATGGCCCCACACCCTCTATGTGTGTCCACCGGCCGGACCACCCAAATCACACTTTTTTTTTTTTTTTTAGGGGGAGAATATCACTTTCAACCTCATCACAAACATGACTTTCCCTTTCCACCACATCGTTTCTTTTCTTCCCGGCAGCATGAAAATTTCCTAAAGCATTTCATATTATCTCCTCTATACAACCTGAAGCATTTTCCTATTTATTTTTCCTAAAACTGTCCCTATAAATGTCTTTTTTTTTTCCTTTTTACTTTTAAAACATGTCTTATTTCTCTCACTCGTTAACTCTCTCGATCCCTTTCAAACCACAAACTCTCTCACACTCTCTCATTTCTTCAAACCGACTTTTTCAATCCGGTTCCTCCCCTTTCCACTCTCTGCCAACCCCTCTTCAAACCCACAAAAACTCTCTCTCTCTCTCTCTCTCTCTCTCTCTCTCTCTCTCTCTCTACTACT